GGGGGGGGGGGGGGGGGGATCAGACGGGCTGCCGCTGCCGCTGCCGCTGCTGCTGGTGATGATCGTGGTATCCGGATAGTAGCCCGGCGGAAAAGTGTACTGGTTTGGTGGTGGCGCGGACTCGTAGCAAGAGGCGAGCGGGGTCACAGGGGAGGTTTGGACGGGGCTGGGGGGGGTCATAACGAGGTTAAGCGGGAGTTTTACGAGTTTTGGGGGACTTTTTTCGTCTTTTCGTTGTTGGGGGAGGGGGGGAGGGGGGTTCTCGGGGATAAATAGAGCGGGGGGATATTGAAGTACCGTCCCCTGATTTCAGTTGATAATCTCTCGTTGTTTGTTGAACGCGGTAACGTGGGGGGGCGGCGGCAGATGAAATGCGGCCGTGGAGTCGGGGGAGGGGGGGGAGGGTCGCGCGCGCGGGGTAGCCGGTAGCCGTGGGACTGCTTGCTACCTCTGGGGTCGTGTATGCCATGTCAACACCCAACACACAGCTGCACGGACACTCCTCTTTTACTCATGTTTCCGAAAGGCGCAGAATACATGGTTTCTTTTTGAGGTCGAGGACCTGAAGGACAAATATTTTGTGTGTGCATTTCACTTCACCCCTCGTGGGCGGGAGGTACTCCTCGTTGGGAGGAGGAGGGGGGGGTCACTTCGGCGGGTATTGTTGAAGCGGGGATGTTTAAGTACCGTCCCCTTCAACATCGGTTGGCCTGCTGGGGTATGATTTGCCGATTCGTAGAATAGCTCTCGGGGGGGAATGGGAAGGGGGGGCAGCAATCTTCATTCATGTCTTGTGTCGATCGCGGTCACAACCGCCAAGAGCAGGAGGGCGGTCTGCAGGCGGGGCGTTCGGTACCGTCAACGCGCGCGCGTATTATAAACCTCTAGGTTTGGCCGAGCCTGTGAGGTTCCTCGGGCTGGTCGCGCTACGAATGGCTGCAGTTATTACGGTTTAGTGAGGGGATCCTTGGCCTGGGAACTCTCCTGTCAGTTTAGGGCATACTACCATACATGGTTCTCTCTGACCCCCCCCCCCCCCCCCCCCCCCCCCCCCCCCCCCCCCCCCCCCCCCCCCCCCCCCTGACATTGCTAGGGAGGGGGGAGGGGGGTAGTTCTCGCGCACCTTTTCACACACCAGATTTTGGTTCGGTTGGTGTCATGCGCGGGTGTTCGGAGGAGTTTCCAGAAGGCGTGCTTGGGGTATCTGGTATGTACGGGGGGGCATCTTGTTCGTACTCGCTTTGGTACCCCGTCTGTTTTTTGGCTCTGATAGATTGATGCTCACAGCAATTTTTTGCGTGCTTCCCAGACCGGCGCATGCTGTTGCATTGTTCCTTGTTGGTGTACCATGGCGGCGAACTGTGGGCGTACTCACGTTAACGCATGCCCAAGCGGTCGTTAGACCATCGACCTGGCATCCCTACAATGCCGGCACGGAGCGAACGTGCCAGGTTTTTCCGGGGGGGGGGGG